TAACTAAGTACGGTCTAAGCTTCTCGTCTGAAACATTTATAAAAAGACGTACAGCTGTCTTCTGAGCATTGAGCTGTATAGTCCGGTAGAAATTTACCCATGTTTCAGAGGTCCTTACTACCTCCAAATTTAAGACGATGGAGGATGCAATAAGCATATCTAAATCGTCAGCAAATTTCTACAATATACACCATCACACAAGACAATCATCTTCACGCTCGCTGCCGTGAGAACCTGAAATCTAACATATTTTATATTTCTTAGAGTCGCAAAGGAAGCCAAAACCGCTCAGGAACTGAAGGCCTTCATTCAGGAGGCCCTGCGCAAGTAATGGACGACAAACGCAAAGCTGATGAAATGGGATCAACTGCCATGTACTGCAGATGCGAATAAATTTACACTCACGCATGCCGACATACAAAACAGATCTGAAGACGCTGATCAGAAAAAAAGTCAGTAATTAGAGCCCTAAAGCATCAGTAAATTTAGCTTTCAAAGACTAATCAGAACTAGTAGCTTCTTTAGTGACGCCAACAAAGAAAGGAATTTATACTTTACCTGTCTGTCGATCAGACGGCCAATGTGGATAATGTGTCTAGCTCAGTTACCTACCCGCACAAGGGCCTGAGGCGAAGACGAGGCGCCATAGGCGGTTTGCGAAGGGAACCAACGCAACACTACACATAACGTTTATTAAATACGGTCTTCTGTAATTTCTTCACCCTTGAATCTTTGTTTTAAACTCAAAGAATGAGAACAATGCAAAATGCACAAAAAATCTTTACAATTTTGTTAAGAAACGTTGCAGTATTCGTGCGTGTGTGTATACGTGCGTGCGTTTGTCATGGACCTCTATTATAACAGACGCCAGCAGAAACAGATAAACGAGAAGTTCCCACGAACAAATCATGTTAATTATTATCTTTCTTACCGCACCCCATACTCTCAGAGATCTCTTTGATTTCTTTCTGGTTCTTAGGACCATAGGTTAAATATTATGTAGCCACAGACAGAACCTTTTCAGCAGAATTAAAAAGGGAGGGGGAGATAAAGAG